TGTCTGGACGGTGTTCTGCGTGCCCGAGACGAAGGGAGTGCGACTGGAGTCCATCGGCGAGCTGTTCGAGGGCAACATCATCAGGGGTTGCATTCAGGACACGGTGCCGAGCAAGTCGCGGGCGAAGCAGCTCAGGCACCATCACGCCACGGACGATGCCGACTCGACCAAAAGCGGCGTGGGCAAGGCTGCGCGGGTTGAGCAGATCGAGGATGTGTAGAGCATCGGGCGGGAGGAGGCGATGGCAAAAAGCAAGAAGCAGCCAATGTTCAGTGCTTACGTTGCGGCGCGTCCGGCGGATTAGTACCGCGAGGAGTGCTTCGGTAGCTGAGAGGTGCCGAAGCCATGGCCCTGTAGCTAGACCAATCGATCGCGAACATGAGACTACACTGTGCATCAGGATCTGTACGACGTGTTCATACAGCGAAGATCGTGAACGGAACGAGGAACTGAGTCGGCCCGCGCAGGGCAGTCGCACCGGACGAGTCACGAGGCCATGGCGGACCTGGCGGTCAAGTTGGGTATCACAGGGCTATCCCGAGCTAGCGGGGTCAGTTGGGCGGCGGAAGACGTCTGTAACAGCTAGAGAGGGCAGCTAGGCGGCGGGGCGACGTTGTTGACAGGTCGAGGGCGCATGTGCTGACGTGCCTGTGGCAGCAGTGGGCACCTGGGCAGAGTGAAGCGTCGCGGTGGAACGTGGTAAATCCTCTGCAGCTAGTCTGAAATCTAGTCAACTGGTAGGACATCTCTAGAGTAGCGGACCCTGTTTCTGTGCGGCGAGCCATGCCGGCTGCTGAGTGGCTGTGCCTGCAGGGGTGCGCGGGCCCAAGCGAGGGCGATGACATAGTGCAATCTGACGCTCTCCACGCACCCTCGAAACCAGGCGGGCGGCGGCCTGGGCACGCTCTCTGTACCCGACCGAATCCTCACCCTCCTGCTGTCTATCCTTACTGTCCATCTCGTGTCGCGCGCTGCACCCCATCGCTCCCATCGCCAGGTGCACATCGGCCGTTAGCCCCCCACCGCGCTTGTCCGCCTCATTCGCTGCCTCGCGGTCCCCACCACGAGAGCCCATAGCACGCTGCTGGGCACACCCTGGGAGCCGCCTGCAAATATCACGTTGATTTTACACCGTGCCAGTACCCCCGCCCCCTGTCACCACTCACGCCAGGGAACTTGGGCTATCCTACAACCATCGGGCAACCTGTTCGCGCTGCTAGTCGTCGACCCTACGCCGGCTGAGCCCACCGGCTGCATCCTCGCTGTCGAAACGCCCTTATGTACGTCGTGCTGCGGCTTTCTTCTTCGCCAGGCCTAATTTCTAATTCTCCTTCGTTGGTGCCATTTGCTCTTCTTCTCTTCACCTGCCTTCCTGCCATTTCCCCTTTTGAAACCACGGCTGGGCTGACACGATGTTGGGCAGCGTTCTCCTCCCCACTAAGCCGCCTGGCCTGAGGTCGAATACTTATTCTAGCACCGTTGCGCCGCCACTTCCCCCACGCCGTAACTCGCTGTCCACCCAACCCGCCGCCAAAACTGCTGCCAAAACTGCTCCGCTCCATATCAAGACCGTCACCCTGTCAGGCGGCATGGACACGCGGTACAACAACCGCCCCTCGTCCCCGCGGGGCCGCTACTCCAACCCCGCCAGGTCCTCGACGGGCACCTTCGCCGACCCCTATTACACCTCGTCTTACTATGGCCGTCCCAGCTCGCCACGCTCCAGCGTCGACCGCATTGGAACGTCCCACACCTCGCACGCCTCGCACCACACGCCCTACTATACGCCCAGCCCCACGACCTCTTCCCACGCGAGCAGCACCAAGTATGACTCGTACACTGGACGTCCACGGCGGAACACCAACGACCTGACCCGCCCCAATGTGAGCACCAGCGCCCTGCCGACGACTTCGCTGCCACTCCGCACCCCGTACTCGTCCCACACCCACACCGACCGACCGCGGAGCCCACTCACACCCTCCTATGCCAAGGGATCCGATACCTACATCACCCCGGCCGCTTCACGAGGCCATAAGAAGGTCTACAGCGTCGACGACAGCAGCCACCTGACCAAGCTCGTTGCTGAGGTCGAGCCCGCACGCCACCGGGATCATGCAGACCGGGGTTACAGTGTCACAAGTGGCGGCCGCAGCTACCACGACAGCAGCAAGCCCCCGTCGCGCCTTACCGACCTGAGCAACAGCGATGGCTACTCCTACACGGACCCTGCGAGCATGTACCGTGACACAGAGCCAGCCTGGCGGAGGCCACGTGCTGGCAGCTTGGAACGTGGCTCTCGCCCCACCAGCATGATCGCGGATCGTCCCTCTCGTACCTCTACTCGCGAACTTGGTCCTCCCCCGTCCACACGTGGCTTCGACAAGATCAACAGCATCCCGCGGCCCCACGCCAGATCATCCTCGATTGAACGGGCACGCGAGATCCCCAAGTACGATCCCTACCCAGACTCAAGCCTCGCACGATCCTCCTCCTCTCGCACTTCTCGCGCCCCTGCCGCTATTCATCAGGAGCCTCGCCGAGACGCTTACCGCGATGACTACGACCGCCCGAGCCGTGGAGTCGAGAACAAGCGCCACAGCACCGCCTTTGAGGACCGCGAAGTGACCAGCCGTGGCTTCGGCATTGCACCAGGCCCCCCAAGCCTCGCACACGACCACCACGCTCTGGACCGACAGCCTCTTTACCCTCCTGCCGAACCTCCTCGACCGAGGCCACAAGAGTCTAGCAACCACTACTATCAGCCAGACCGCGCCGACGCACGCATGCCGGAACCTCGCTCTTCCCGTGACAGAGACGTCGTTCCACCACAGGACTACGAAAAGCGCCCCCGTGAGCGTGAGAGCGGCCGAGAAGAAAAGGGTGGCTTGGTGCAAACCATAACTGGTGCGGCAGCAGGCGTAGCAGCGACCCTGGCCGGCGCTGGTTACATGAAGAAGGCCCGTGACAAGGACCGTGGTAGCGACCGAGACTCGTCAGGAGAGCGTGAGCGCGAGCGACGGAAGGAATACGATGAGCGTGACAAGCGAGACCGTCCTGACGAGCGACGAGAGAGGAAGTCCGAAGGCCGCCGCAACTCGCTTCAGCCGCCTCCACCGCCCCCGGCTGCTGCCCCAGCCGCTGCCCCCGCAGCTATCGCAGCTCCCGACTACCCTCCGATGCAACCCGACTACATACCTCAGCCTCGCGAGCGTCGATACGAAGATGATGAGAGAGAGAAGGTTCCTTCTCGCAAGGCACCTGCACCGTCCACTGCGGGAAGCGACGAGGAGCGCCCACGTCACTACGTTGATCGCGAACCCGAACGCCGGAGGGACCCCGCACCCCAGGAAGCTGCTCTGGATCCTGACGAGGAATACCGACGACGCATTCAGCAGGAAGCAGAACGTTCTAGTCGCAGCACTCGCGACAAGGACAGCGACTCTGACCGCGAGAAGGAGCGACGGAGGAAGAAGGATGAGCGTGACAGGTCTCGAGGTCCTGAAGACCGCTCGCGTGCGTCTCCTCCCAGGGATCGCCCTGTGAGCACATATGACGGAGGCATGGTGCAGGAACCGGAGTCAATAGAGAGGGAGTCCACGGGCAAGAGCGTAGTGATTGTCGAGCCACCCAAGGAGCCCGTTGCGCCCGTCAAGGGCATCCTTCGCAAGCCAACTGAGAAGTTCCCTGAGGACCCTGAGCCTATCCGCGAGGGTGTTGCACCACACAAGGATGCATTGAAGGGCAAGGACATTCCTGTCGGAGCTCGATGGACGAGGATCGATCGTCGTCTTGTCAACCCTGAAGCCCTCGAGCAAGCCAAGGAGCGCTTCGAAGAGCGAATGGACTGCGTGATCGTACTGCGTGTCTTGACCAAGGAAGAAATCCAGAAACTCGCTGATCGCACCAAGAAGATCCGCGAGAACAGAGGTACGTCAACATTAGGATTTGATTCATGATCAATACTAACATACACGCAGAAGAGGAGTATGACCATGACCGCCGCGACCGTGACGACCGCGACAGGCGAAGCCACCGTTCCAAGGATGATAGGGATGATGAGGAGCGTGACAGCGACCGAGAGCGTCGCCACCACGACCGTGAGCGACGCCGCCGCTACGACGATGAGAGCGACTACGACGACCGCGAGCGAGAGCGAGAGCGCGAACGCGACAGGCCCAGGAAGGTTGAGATCGATGAAGGAAGGTGATTGCAATGAATAGCTTTGCGCATTGTACTCCGTGTTATCGTTCCTTTGAGAACATGTCGAGTACGCGCTTACGCTAGTTGGATTGTAGAAGAGAACGAAGGACACAGAAATAGTCCTTCAGGTCCGTGGAGAAGGACACAACGACGGAGAAGCCCCCTCACGAGGTCGCACGTCCCACCTCCCACAAATCTAAAAAGTAACATTGGAAAGACCGGAACACCACATCCTCTGCCCTTCTGGAAAGTACAAGCCATGGCTCCCCGCCTCAACGTCGCGTTTCGAGGCGCCACCGCCGAAGTAGCAGTGCTACGGAGTACAGCTTCGACCATCGTTCATCCACAGAAGGCGGTGGCAGGGTCAGGCGCAAACGCAACCGCATTCGCAGAGTACTGGATTGGTTATGAAAGTACATGGCACTCTTTTGTTTATCAATGTTGTTTGGCGCTTGGCTGGCGTTTAGGGGGGGAGGTTCTCTGTTCACTTTCGTTACGCATAGCGACGGGGATGGCATAGCATAGCATGGCGAAGAGTGAGCGAGCGAGCGAGCGAGAACCTTCTTTCTTGTACAATACTCGCATTTACGTCTCCTTTCGAATACCTATGCGAATTGATACGTTCAACATGACCATCTACATGATTTGTTGTTGCCGTGATGCTTGTATAAGTGACGTTTTCATACTTGTTCACTGCTCGAAGTATCACGCGTGATCAAAGAAAATACGACGCACTCTCAAGTGTCCACAGATCCATAACATGAAATACAATTTTGACATTCAACTACCTAATCCCACCCTCACTTCTTACTCGGATTCGGACTAACCGTCCCCTCTGGAAACTTGCGAAAGATATCCGCAATATGATCAATCGGCGCCGCCAACATGCCCATGGGGCCCTCGAAATACGGGTTCTCGCCCGCACTCGGATGGGCTCTCGACGGCACAAACATCTTTGTGCGACCAAAGTTTTTGGCTAGCGACTCTGAATTTCCCCGGTTTTCAGAGGAGGATAGCGCGGCTTCGAGGGCGGGTAGGTCGGAGCCTTCTTCTTCGGCAATGTGCACGGAGAGGAGGGACCATATTTTCTTGAGCTGCGGGATGTAGGTTGAGGATGCGGGGTCCATGTTTTGGAATTCTTTGAGGAGGATTTTCACCTAAGTAAGGTGTTAGTAGGGGCGTGATGTGGATTGATGTGGGAGGAGTGGTATGTACCTCATGATGCTGTTTCCGGTCTAATTCCGCATGCGCCTTTCCCTTTGCGCCCATGTACTTTTCCATGGCTGGGTAGACGAGGAGTTCCTCAGCGACGGAGTGCCGGGCTAGTTCCCAGGTGAATTGGTTGCCGTAGCGGGTTGCATGGTCGATGTCGGTGGGATTGTTGATGATTTCTTTGTAGTAGGTCTCTAGCTTGCGGTGGTCCTGGGTGATGGCTTCTGAAATGGTCGAATTGAGGGCTACCTGGGTGCGAAGGTAGGCTGGTCTGGCAGCTATGCGGAGTGTCTGTGGCCGGAAGGCGGCTCGGGTGAGTGGTGATGCGATGGCACGAGGAGCGAACATTGTGATGGTGTGGGATGATTATTGAGGACTGAGTGAGAATTGAATAGATGGTGTATCAAATCCATTCTCGAGGTAAGTCGCGAGCTTTTGTCTCACATGGCTATTAACACGGTGATACGTCATTCCTTCGTCAGAGGTGCGTTCCTGCACTGTCCAGCTGCTCTCTGCCCAGGTGTTTGCGCTTTGGACATGCGCGCGCAACTTGTCGGTGATGTCGCACAGTGTAGTGGATGACGATTAACTGCTGCATGATTGGATTGGAACCAGTGCCCACATGCCGCATGTTTGGTACCGATAATCGTGCAAGGTGGTGTAGCGTTCCGCGGAGCGACGTGTTGATGATGCAGGATGCAGCGCATCGGAAACGTCACATTGCCACCATGCCGAAACATGCGAAAGTCTAGAATTCCCATGCCCTTTTTTACCCACCGCGCTTCACAGCATCCGCGGACTGCAACTGCCACGGCGAATGAGCGATTAGATGTTAGTCTTATCTTTCCAAAAAGGTATTGCTCACTAAAAGCGGTCCTGGTTAAACAAATATTGACAGAATCTAATCCACCCGAATTGTCGATACTTGCTGCACTAAGCCTCGAAGCACCAATCCAGCTGTCAACTGTCCCTGCACGTGAGGTCGTGGCATCTTACCCCTCTCCTCTACGCGTCAGAGACGCATCAACGTGACAAAATACAAAATACCCGGAACACCCGTTGCCCATGTATGCAGCAATGGCGTGCCCTCCAAGTTGGCCCTCTTAAACTCGCGCCCGCTGTTGCTACCTCATGGAGATTCCCACATCTTTACCAAGCAAATTGACCGCAGCCATGTCGACCGGTGCGAACGCTTCCCAAAATGACCCCATGCAACACCCCCTCGAGGCCATCTCCCAGGGTATCCAAAGCGCTACTGGAGAAAAACGTGCGCCAAGGCAGAGCCACATGGGCTCAGCCAACGAGGGACCTGCCGATATAGCTGCGAAGATTACGGGCGCAGTTCAAGGCGGAAAGCGTGAGGATGATGGCCCTTACTTTACCTCCAATGAAGGTATCCCGTGGATCGACCCGTAAGTTTGCGAGTACCTGCATGCCTCGAAGACGTCGTTGCTAACGTCTCATAGTGCACACAGCAAGACTATCGGCGGAATCCCTGTGGCTAGCGATGTCTTCCTCTTCCAGAAGCAGCAGACGTTCAACCGTTCCAAGAACCTTGAGCGTATGGTGCACCCTTGCGGTTCCGGCGCGTTTGGATACTTTGAGTGCACCAAGAAGGTTGACGCTCTTACGGTACGTCTGTCTTGATCATCTCACAACTGCCAAGCCTGACTTCTCCTAGAAAGCCAACTTCCTCTCCAGTGTAGGCGAAAAGACTCCCATCTTCATCCGTTTCTCGACAGTTACGGTCGGTCGCGAATACCCCGACGAAGCCCGCAACCCCCGTGGCTTCGCCATCAAGTTCTACACCATGGAGGGCAACTATGACATCGTCGGCCTCAACTTTCCCATCTTCTTCTGCCGCGACCCTATTCAAGGTCCAGACGTAATCCGTTCGCAAGCTCGTAACCCAAGGAACTTCCTTCCTGATTACGATGCCATTTTCGATCTCCTGGCAAACACACCCGAGAGCAACCATGCCGGTCTCATGTTCTTCAGTGACCACGGCACTCCCGTTGGCTGGCGCTTCAACCACGGCTACGGTTGCCACACCTTCAAGTGGGTCAACGCTGAGGGCAAGTTCGTCTACATCAAGTACCACTTCATTGCCAAGCACGGCCAGAAGCAGTTCACCCAGCAAGAAGCGACACAGATGTGCGGTGAAGACCCAGACTACTCCAAGCGCGATCTGTGGGAAACCATTGAGAAGGGTGAGGAAATCGAATGGACCGCCATGGTGCAAGTCATGGAGCCTGAGGATGCGGATCCCGAGAAGCTTGGCTTCGATCCCTTCGATGTCACCAAGGTCTGGCCGCGCAAGCAGTTCCCCATGCAGGAGTTTGGCCGTCTTGTGCTGAACAAGAATCCCGAGAACTATCACCGCGACGTTGAGCAGGCTGCCTTCTCGCCAGGCAGCATGGTTCCCGGTATCGAGGACTCTCCCGACCCATTGCTCCAGTTCCGCATGTTCTTCTACCGCGACGCGCAGTACCACCGCATTGGAGTAAACCTCCACCAGATTCCTGTCAATTGCCCCTTCATGTCGAAGTCTTTCGCGCCTCTCCAGTTCGATGGCCAGATGCGTGTCGATGCCAACCACGCAGGAAACAAGCAATATAACCCCAATAGCTTCGCACACAAGTTCCGCCCTGATGTTGCCGAGGCGCCGTACCAGGTCTCCGACAATGTTATGAGCCGCAAGAGCCACTACTGGCATGAGGCGAAGAAGAACGAGTACGACCAAGCCAAGGAGCTGTGGAGCAGGGTCATGTCGCCTGAGAGGAGGCAACACACCATCACCAACACCTTCAACATGCTGAAGTTTGTCAAGTACGCTGATATACAGGTAAGTCTTTGCCCTGCATCCTTCAGTCGCACCACACACTGACTCCCGAATAGAAGAAGTACCTCGCGCAAGTGTACAACATCGGTCCCGACTATGCTCAAGGCATCTACGACCTCCTTGCGAGCTCTGACTCCAAGCCCGAATTCCCCTTCTCAGAAGTCGAGAAGCTGTCCGAGTCGGCACACGTGTGGTTCAAGGAGGAGAAGTTCAGGCCCTCGAATGGTACGAGGCTGACTGGATATGCGCCAAGTGGGCCAGTCTACAACTGAGGGTTTGATTGAGATTGGATATGAATGCTTGCGGAGATACCTAGCGCTGTAATAACCCATCGGCAAGAATGAATCATGAATTGCGAGAGCTACGCGTGTTCGTAACAATTTGCTCCGATGTTGGCGAGACGGGATCCGTTTATTCGGGTATGACCAGATCCTCTGGACACCATTGCTGCAGGGTACCTTCCCCAAAAGCAAAGTCATTCTCGATCTGCGTGAAGAGGTATTGGTCCGCTTCGTCCAGGGTCCATGACCAAGGCTTAGGGCTAGTGGCGGCTGACGCAGGACCTTCCATATCATGTTGAGTATTACGAATTGCGATGCTATCGATACCCTGTTGCTGCGAAGGCAGTTGCGCAGTAGTGCCGACTGAAGTAGACTGGCCAACATTCCGAGCGGCGCCTCCATCATCCGCTTCCATAGTTAGTCTTGAGGCCGTTTCTCTGTCGAGATATTGGAAAAATAGCTGTAACACCCAGTTGGTTACTTCCCACGTCTTCTGAAGTTCTTGCAAGCCCAGTAGACAAAGCTTGGCTCGATGCTCAGCGAGCGTGCGATTGATGCCGTTCGAGCGCCGGAAGTTCACAACATGTATACATAGTGTGTTGAAGAGGTTTGTGATGACGTGCATCTGAGCGTGCCCGATGTTGCCGTCCGGCAGCATATCCTCGACTATGCGTGAGTTGCGCGCTGCTGCCTGTAGCGCTACATTCCCGTCCGCGGATGTGTTGTTGTTCTCGTCTACAACGAAGCTGGTGCGGTGGAGTAGAATAAGTAGATTGTTGTACGCGAGATGAAGCATGCTGGCTTGGAAGTTGGGCGTGTCGCCAGCATCGCTATGCAGCTGCATGATACTTGGGAGGTCTTGCCTCCATTTGTATAGCTCGTTGCGAAGTTTGGTCCTGTCCTCGGTCGCGAGTTCCCGCCCCGGCAGATAACCGGCATCCACTACTCTGCCAAGGAAGACCGCCAGCTGCACCATACTTATCGTGTACACTATGTACCTATGGCGGTCCTCGATAGGAGTGGACGGCGAAAAAGCAGAAGTGAAATCCGCGGAAGACAACGGCTCAATATCGCAATCTTTGTCGCGTATGCGGCACGGTAGGCCCAGAGCTGATGCGCATTGTCGCTCGCGCACATAAATAGCCCACCAAAGCCTCCTCTTGACCCTTGCGCGTCCCTCATCAGTATCGCCTCCGGAACGATGTAGTGCTCTTGTTTGCGAGAGACTAATAGCTGTGCCTAGCCAATGTCGTGCGTCCTTCTCCAATAGCGCACCGGCTCGCCAAAAGCTCATCAGAAACAGAGCTTGTATGACTTTTACCTTGTCAGTCTCGTACGTAGAATCGTATAGGTCTTTTGCCCTGATATAAAAGAACCATTTCGCTCGATGACGGTTTCCCCACCCAAGAGCCTTGAGGGTAGACTCTTCGCAGTGGATAACGCCAATGAACATCATAGCTTGTAAAGACAAGGCGGAGAACGTAAAGTCTTGGTACGAGGCCCAGAAATCTTCTTCATCTATGATTGCGAAGTGTGGGTGGAACCATTTGAAGTACGCCTGAAGGAGCTCGAGCCGGACCTCGGCGGGAGGAAACGAAAAGGCTCCCTCTGCTTGTAGGATCTTCTTGCGCGCAAGACGCCTTTCGGATTCCCATTCTGGCACGAACGATTCTGCTCTTGCAGCGCTTGGAACGGCATGACGAAAACAGGACTGTCGGCGATGAGCTGCTGCTTCTGATGGCTCACCAGCCTCGCTTGTCGTCACATAGCGCAAAGAGCTGCTTTCACCAAGGAAAACGGCATCATCTTGGTGAACAGACCCTGTTGTTGGTGGGTTACTCTGCTGTTCTGCTGACACTGCCGGAGTGTGAAGTTGGTATTGACTTCCGGAAGCTGGCGTGTGGTTGACGGGGCTGTGGAAGTTCGACGATAGCGACGCGAGAACATGTGACGCTGCCACCTCATCCTCGTGTCGCTGCGGGCTCAGCGCCGATGTACTTGGTGGGCTATCCGGGATCAGTACCTGTTCTAGGGCGCTTCAAGTGGGTTTAACTCACGTTCTACTACGCGTCTCCGCCTCGGCCCGCGGCTTCCTGATGTGCTTTCCGCGTCTCGATTCACGCGTCTGGCACTCGACGTTGCCGGCTGCGCAGTTGCTACAGGGATGGCGATCCGTGACATCACACTTGACGCGTCGCGCGTTGCAAGTGACACACGCCAACTTT